CGAGGCCCAAACAGTGCGGAAAAGAATCCTCTTTTCAGGTTGTCGGAACATCTCGGGTCTAAAAACCACATTCCACCAGAAACTGTCGGAACAATCCGACAATGGAAACCTTCACGGTGGAGAAGATAACAATGAGGGAGACGAGGCAGCGAGTCGAAACATGTTGATTGGGGGCAAAAAAAAAAAACAAAAAACGACTGAAGCGATTTACCTCGAGGTGGAACGCGACAGGAATGGACTTGTTTGAGGAGAGCCCAAAAAAAAAAAAATAGCACTATCTAATCTTACCTCCTCAGACAGACAGGAAACGGACACAGGAAGTGAACATCTCTGATTTGAGACCGTTTGGAAAAACACGATGACTTGCACTGCTACGGGACACCTGTGTTATTTGCTGAATGACTCATCCTTTTTTGGGGGGGGGGGTCATTTTTGGCCCTGTCTTCAAAAAGGTGCACAGAAGTGAGAAAGAGTGTCAGCCAGCTGGCTTCGCCAAAACTTCTCGTAGCCTCAGAGAGATCTTCCCAACAAGTTTCCTGTAAAATATTCCGACTCATCATTTAGATAACACCTCTTCCTTCGAGGGGCGGGCTACGGGTGAACCTTTCCATCCGCCGTACCCGTTCGACCCGACGTGGTTTGGGGATTTTGAAATCCCTATCTTTTACTCTTTTTCCAGCGCAGCGAATGTCTGCAGGATGAAACTCAACATAGCAGGCCCATCTGAATGGGAAAGCCTGATTTTGTTCGTCTCGATAGCGTACAATCCCGTTAACTCATTCACTCCCAAAGACGTTTTTAAACGTCTTTTCAGACTTGGTCCAGAATTGGCTGGTACTGAACGGGTTCAGTGTTCCAGTTCAGTCCGGCATGGTATCGAATGCTTAATCCTGATCTGCCCTGCGTTTCCATTGCGGGATCGTATGTTTCCAACTAATTGTTCCAGTTTGGTCCTGCGTGGCTTGGAATGCGAAATCCTAATTGATTTAAATGTAAAATAAATTGATCCGTTTAAAAAATAAAAGATTGAATGACTGTTTGTGCCTTATGTGTTGTGTTGTATTATTTTCTTATGGCTTCAAGATGGCGCCGCGAGAGTGGCTGCCTTTACAGCAGCTCCTACACTTTTTGTTCTTCTGTTTTCTTTCTTCCTTTCATAACTTTGCTGCTGTAAATTGGGAATTTTTCCATTGTGAGACGACTCAAGGTTTTCTTATTCTTCTTATAATCTTTTCGGTCCAGTCTTGACATCTTTCGGTGCGGCTTATGTTCACCCTCAGCGTTTTGGTTCCGTTTGGTGTAGTTTGGAACAATAAATCCTGATCTGTCTTGATTTCCAGAAATCTAGTCGAGAAGGCTAAATCATGATAAAGACCAATGGAGGACATCCAGCTAGAGTGTTAAAAAAAATAGTAGGGTACCCTCCCCCACCCCCCAAAAAACCAACATTGACTGTAGAAGCTGAGCTGTTTGGGTGGGAAAGACTTTTAGTCATCCCAGAGCTGCCTCCTGGTATCTGAAAGGAGGATCGCTCGATATAGAGCGTGTACGGGAAGGCTCTGCACACTCAGCGATTCCTCGACATCGACGCAACCTCTCTCCTTCCTGAACAGTGTGAATACAATCACGATGTCATTTCTAACTTGTAGTTAGAACTTCGTTTACAACATGGCTTTTGAAGTTTTTTTTTTGAAGGGCCTACGTAATAAGAGCCAGTACAATCTGTGGGAATGATTAACAAGGCTCTCCAAGGAAAATTCCTGGGGAGTACATCTGTGTGCGATTTGAGGCGGGAGCTGGGATTTAAAGGTGTACTTCCCTTTCGTAATGTTTTTTTTTTTCCTTTCATCTTTGCAGAAGAAATGGATTACGCTAACTTTGGCAACAACACCATCACCCGCAAGAAAAAGACCGTGGCGGCTCTACGCAACAACGACATCAACCGAAAGAGGGCGCACATCCGCATCGGCATGCCGCAAGATTTCCGGCCGGTCTCCTCCATTATCGACGTGGACATCCTGCCGGAATCGCATCGCCGCGTTCGACTTTATCGCCACGGCTCGGACAAACCCTTGGGATTTTACATCCGGGATGGAACCAGCGTCCGCGTGACACCCCACGGGTTGGAGAAGGTGCCGGGGATCTTCATATCCCGGTTGGTTCCCGGTGGGCTGGCGGAAAGCACGGGTCTGTTAGCGGTCAACGACGAAGTCCTGGAAGTGAACGGGATCGAGGTGAGCTGGAAATCGCTGGACCAGGTCACGGACATGATGATTGCCAACAGCCACAATCTCATCGTCACCGTCAAGCCCGTCAACCAGCGCAACAACGTGGTGCGCGGCAGTCGCATTTCCGGGAGCTCGGGCCAGTCCTCGGACAGCAGCGGGTCCACCGGGTACCCGGTTCTGTCTGCTCCCCCGGGGGCAGCGCCGCCCTCCGCCGCCCAAGGTTACCAGGACGACTTGGAGAGCGACGACGAGACTGACATCGTCATTGAGAGCAGCCTCAAGCGGCCGTCGCGGAGGTCCAACGCTTCCTTGGCATCCAACGCGTCTCGCTTACATCAACAGCAAACGCCGAGCGCCGCCACGTCGGGTCCGGCGGCGCCGCCCAGCCCTCCGTCGCGCCCCGCTTCGGTCGTATCCACCGCTTCTTTTCACTCTCAGACGAGCCTCAACGGGGGCTCGCAGCACCACCAACACAGCAGTCTGAGCTACCAGCTCCTCAGAGACCTGAACCTCCAGCACAATCAATCCGGCAGCCAGCTGCCCTACCACGCAAGCAATCCGGCACTCCGTCACAGTAACGGGAGCCTGCACAAAATCCTCAGCTCGCTGAAAACGGACCCGCGGCACAGCCTGGCCCTGCCAAGGGGAGGGGTGGAGGAAGATGGCACCGTCATCACACTATAATAGCGGCAAATATCCCGCTCAGACAGGGGAACGCCATGACAGAGACTTTTCTTCCCCCCCCAAGATAATTACTGTAATAATAGGAAGCTGCACGCCAAGGATCACAAAAATTGGTCGTACTGTATATACACCTTGGATTTTTTCTATTTTTTCATGTTTCTCGTCTTACTTCAAAAAAAAGCCTATGTGTGTAATAAGCATCAGAACAAATGATGTATTTTTTAAAACCTAAGTGACCACTTTTCTCGAGATTTCTTTTCATTCTTAATCCTGGGACCAAACTGTGGTTTGCATATCGTCATTGTCTTTTGAAAGAGTAAATCTATATTTCTTGGATTTCCGGCGTATGCTTTTTTTTTAATTGATCTTTTCAACGATTGTGATGAAATTCTTGTATCTGTTTCAATAAATTATTCTTCATTTTCGCATGGCGTGCTGACTATGTTCACTTCTGATTTCATATCGACACAAAGCTTTTTGCAAGGTACAAACCCTTCTTCCTCATCTCACCTCTACTGATAAACTTTTTTTTTCTGCAGTGTTTACAAAGCAGTCACATTGTCCAAACATAATAAATCACCCTCAAGGCCAAAGTGGTTCGCTTTAGTCTGCACAGTCAATCAGCATACTGCCAACAGTGAACCACTTGTCACTTTTCATTTAGTACTGAAAAGGAAGGCTCGGGAACCTTTTCCCTATCCCTTTGGAGTTAGTTCGTCGCATGTTAAATGGAGGCTTGTCATGGCATTTTCTGATGCAACGGTCAAAAAAATAAGCGACAACGCACCTATGAGCCAAAAATACGGAGCATCGATAAGATCGGGGCAGGGGGAGCATCCACAGCACCCCCACCCCGTCTATGCTCAAAAATCGTTCATGAAGGTTCATCCAAAAATGTGGAGGGGAATCCACCTGTGATTGATGGGCATGAAGGTAGAAACTCTTCCATCAGACCCCCCTGCCAAAATAAAACATTTCTGGGCCATCGACTGTGCTTTGAACCCCGCTGCTTGTATGTGATTAAGGATGACGCGGTCGCTGAGGCTCCTCATTTCGCTTTATTCCCATGAGCGGAGCAGAAACCACATCCAAAAGCTGCCATTGGCAACGGCTCATGTCCAGCGGCTCCACACGCAGACCGCCTCGCTTGAGACTTGAGCCACCGCTCCCTTTTGGCTTTCATCTGATTTGTTTCTTTGGCTGTGATCTTTCAAGAAATCATAGCCACACTCATGACAAACCGAGCACACACTTGGTTCACTGCAACTACAGTATTTACAAAGTGCAGTTTCCCCATCGTGACAGTATGTTGACACATCACTCATACGCTTCAATCTTCATTGAATTTATCATCGAACGAGGTACAGCACACCGTAGGCCCGGGCTAGCACCATCCCTGCATCTAAAAATAAATAAGTGAACGAAAAATAGCGTAGCTCGATGACCTTTGACTGGGCCATGTAACAATAAAGGCTGCCATCTGGTGGGCAAAACTGCAATGCTTTCAAAACTCTTATAATCTTCTAATAAGTCACTTTTACTGTGGCTACCTTTTTTACGCTCGCGTGACCCCTCGGACTGAACGTTCGGCAAGGCCCCTCGCTACCCATTTTTGAAACATTTTTATTCTTTGGCTTTTGACTCAGCATGAAATTTGTTTTTTTAGTTTATAAATACGATTGGGTTGAGTTGAGTCCCATCAAATGCAACGCAAAATCGCCTCAGGAATGTTTTATGATTAAAAGTTAAAGTCCTTTTTTTCTTTCACAGTGTGAACGACAGGTAAAAAACGGAAGAAAAATCACCTTCAGGTGACACCATTGAACGTTGTAATGCTATGTTGCTTGTGGATGCTATGTTGACATTTTTACAATCTGTGTTTCCATTTTAAAGCGATGAATAATTTTTACAGTGTACAGAGTATACAAAACCCTATCGACGTAAATCAAACCTCTTTCAGCAACGAGTACAAATTATCGAACGATTGATTCTATAATTTACAAATTGTTTATTAATACGTGTTCAATGGGCTGTCACTTGTAACCTGCTGTTTTGACCCTCGCGTTTTGCCATCGTCCTACCAACCACGTGACTACTCAGTCAGCTGACTAGCATAACGCGGCTGTAGTTTTGCTGTACCGCCAGCTACAGTCACCTCACCAGCTCACCTCCAGTGAGCCAAGCGACATGGACCACCGTCGCGTGGACAGGGTGGGCCTTCTGTCTCCCCTGGAGGAGTCGAGCGCCGAAATCAGCCGGGACAGCGGCATCGTGTCCCAGAGCGCCAGCAGCTTGTCCATGGTGAGCGACATCCTCAGCAGCGGCACCGTGTCGCAGAGCCCCAGCTTCGGCGCGGCGGCTAACATGGTCGCGTCGCCCAGTCCGAGCCTTCACGAAGCGGCGTCGGCGTCCCAGCAGGGCCCAGAAGGACACGGCGACGACGACCTGGTCCACACCGCTTTCACCTACTCCTCCTACGTGAAGGCAACAGCGGGAGAAGAGGTAAACATTCGACAAAAACAACCACTTGGCCAGCCTTAAAAAGTGGCGACTAAACTCTCCTTTACCGTCTTTTTAACTCCGGTTTCTGAAATATTAACCAAAACATTAAATCGTCATAAAGCGTTAACGTGAGAAATAAAACTTTTGAGGAATGTGAGCTTATTTATGCGTTTGTTAATTTGGACATTATTAAATAAAAAACATACACTGGACCGTTTGTGTGTGTGTGTGTGTGTGTGTGTGTGTGTGTGTGTGTGTGTGTGTGTGTGTTTCCCCAGCTTCCTGGAGAAAAATCCAAGCCTAATTTATTGAATTTCAGCCAAAGATTGTCTTGTCTGACGCAAACTATTCCTCATTCAGATTCTTTGCTTGGAGAAAAGCCTGGAGGAAATGCTGACCAGAGTAGACGAGTTTGTCGGCATGCTGGATATGGTACGGTAAAGGCACTCCGGGTCAGAGACATCACAGATGGGTGTTTATTTTTTGTTTGTTTATTTTTTATTTTTTGCAGATTCGTAGCGACACATCACAGATCGTGAGTGAAAACATACCTCAAATTCAGCAGAAGTCTGAGGAAATAAGACAACTCTACAGACGCATCGACCAATTAGAGGTTAGCGATGGTCACTGTTGTACATTGGTGTATGTCTATCGGGAGGGTAAACTAAGCTTAGTATGGAAAGGCCAGTAGACTTGCTTGTTTTCTTTTGTTTCTTCTTTTTTTTTCTTCAATTACAATTAATATTAGCTGTTACACATTTTCCAATCTCCTTAGATGAGCGCTAACAAGTTGAAGAGGCTTTGAATGCAGTGGCAAAGACACAAAACTATAACGTAGCCATCAAAAACAACCACATAGTTCAACATCAATCCCGAATGGAATGTTTCAGTGTTGGCATTTGTCTGCAGGGCTTTGTCAAGATGGTGGGAGCCAACGTTGGCGCCATGGAGGAGCAGTTGACCCAGGCGGAGGGAGAACTATCCACGCTACCGGGCGCCTTCAAGAAGATCTTCCGCACAATAAGCGTTCCCAGCTTCTTAAATGTGAGGCGCAGTCATCTTTGCTCTTTTTTTTTGTTTCATTCAATACCATTGGCAGTTTGGGGAGTTTGTTTGATTGGTTTATATTCTGCCCTCCTTGGACATGCAGTGTTTAATTCGGCAGATCGGGAACAGTTCTTCAAATAATAGGCAAACTCCACATGCCATAAACTATTTAGATAAAGGAATGGAAATTTTAAAAAAGCTGATGCTGATTAAAATAGTTGTTAGTTTCTGGCCTGTTTGGAAATTTAGTTGTTTTTTTTTTTTTTTTTAATCCAATTCAGCAATATAATCGAAAAAAAATATCAACAGATTAATAGATTATTAAAATAAATGTTAGTTACAGCCCTAAATTATGTGTTAGGAAACCACTTTATTTCCTCACATTCATCTTACATTGTTGTTTTATATAATAGAGTGCAATTTTCATGATCCAAAGTGCACAATAACAAAACATGCTGGTGTTTTTGGAGAGTCAGTTCAATGGGGTTTATCAAATTACATGTAACGTGGGTTACAAGCTTGATCAAGGAACGAATATAACACGGAAGTCAAGGTACCCAGTACCTTTAAGAGAGTTTATTTGTTGTTGGGTTTTTTTTTAATTTTTTTTTTAATTTTATTTATTTATTTTTTATGTGTGTTCTGCAGTTTCAATCTTTTTTGTGGGGTGGGGTGTCATAGAAACCAAACAGCCCACGAAGAACAGTGCCACATCAGCAGCATCAAGAAATCCCTCGAGTATTCTGCACGGACGACTACATCATCACATCGCAGCAGGCAGAGCAGTGACACGCCTCAGAGGCATAAAGACGACCCCAACGTCCACAGCCAAGCAATAGCCAACAAGTCACTGGAGGTCCGCGAGGTGACACTGAACTGTAGCAAAAAAACAAAAGTGATTTTATTTTTTAAAAGTGCCTCAGTGGTCTTGTTTTCCGCTGTTTGTTAGCTTTGTAACAAGCCTGATGCATCTTCCAAGCATTTCTTTTTTTTTATTAATACGGTCTGTTGTGATTGTTTAAAAATAATGCATGCTGTTGTAAGTACATGTCCAATTAGACCAGGCATGTCGAGCTCCGTTCCTCGCGGGTCGCTGTCCAGCCTGTTTCTCCCTCCCTGTTTCAACACATCTTATTCCAAGGATCAGCTCATCAGCAAGCTCTGAAGAAGGATGAGAACAGCAGGTAGAGAGGGATAACAGCCTGGACAGCGGCCCTTGAGGAACAAGTTTGGACACCCCTGAATTAGACTAAACAGTCACTGCGAGCAATATGGACCTCAAGTATTACATGTCTTCCATTTAATAATACTAATTGTATTTTTAGCTTCATGTTTCTTACTGGCTGCATATTTGTCATTTAAAAAGCACATGACTCCTGTGTTAATTGTGGCTTAATAGTGAAATAGTGCCTGACCTTTTGGGCAGAGAAATGGACCTGGTTGGAGTCACATCACCTTCGTTTATCACATTGATGACGTCTGATTACTAAAAATCGGACGTTGCGGGTTTATTTTTGTCACATTTTCGACAATAATTATTAAAGTTTTGTATGATGTGACGTCGTTGTTTATGTTGCCTTCCCATGACTGTTTCAAAAATATTTGAAGCGTATAAAATTCCGGAAGTCAGTCTCACTATGGGGCCAATCAGATGTCAGGATGTGGTCTGCGCACGCGCAGAACACTAGTTTGTCGCGCTGTTGCTATGGCAGCGTCTGCATACATGGGCTGATATTTTACTGTTCTCCGAAGCAAGAGAAAAACTCAACGCTTACGTTAACAGGTCTTTTATTGCCAAATTAAGAATGAATCGATATCGAACACGATATTTCGAATCGCAGAACACGACAGCCTGTTCCATCCGTGCGCAATACATCATGGGCTATGTAGTTAAATAGTTTCAAACTGTTTCCTGTAGTGGGGGCGTGCCAAGAAAACGTCCAGCCAATTACATCAATGTGACCAGTGTGAGGGGCGAATCAGCGAGCCGAACAATGGGCACATGGAGCTTTATGCGAATACCCATTGGCCAGCAGTTCTGCACGTCACGGGTTGAGAGGTGAACGGAAGTCGTTCATTTGCCTCGGCCCTCCCCGCCTCACTTCCATGCAGGCCTGCCTGCCGGCTCTCGAATAAAGTGGCTTAAAGCTTGTGAGTACCACATTAGCTTGTAAAAGGAGATACTCTACAATAAGACTTGTGTTATCTCATTGAATTGGGTCCATCGCTGGCGTTAGTTTGGGGCTGAATAGCGAAAAGTCGAGCGTAAACTCATGGCAGCCATCAAGGCATGAGTTAGCATGTTTTGCTAAGTTTGTGCTGTTTTTTCTTTTTTTTTTTTTTTTTGCGCTGCTTTATCACACAAGCTTGAATTGATCAAGCGTCTTTCAGGAGATCCAGGGAGGCTGAACAATAACAGCATTCATCCAGGAAGATTTAATATTGCTTTGACTCAGGAGACTCACGGCTGTGGTGGAGCCAACATTCCAGCTGACAGGGGCAGGGTCGTTTGGGGTAGAGTGGGGTGCTGGGTCTGAAATATATCTACACAGCCTGGACTGGTCGCCGGCCAGTCAAAAGACACTAGAGCCTACACGTGGAACCTGAAACTGCAACCTTTTGCAGGTGTGAATTGAGCAATCCAGACTGTGCAAAAAAAAAAAAAGAAAAATAATAACAATAATAAAAAATAGGGCCGCCCCAATTGCATTTTATTGCACCAGAGTCCAAGTCACTTTATATTGAATATCTGCTGATACCGAGTCTCGATCCAATACCTCTGTAATAAAATGCAATCAAGAATATAAAGCATACCACATCCAAATTGTCTTCCTTATCATAATTTCTATTTGTTTATTTGAATATGGTATCGTAATATGGTAAATTTGTATATGGCTGTAAGTCAGCAGTGGTTTCAGGTCAAGTTTAAAAAATTAAATCATTTATTCTTGACTTAGTAACTTAAGAAAATTCAAAAATCCATTCTTAATATTGATCAGCCTAAAAGGATGCCGGCCTGATTTCCATTCATGTGATTGGATCCGGTCAATCCTAAAGAATAATCATTCCTGGTCGCAGTACAGAGCCTTGTGATCGGCCCGGATTGTCAGGAGCTGAGTTTATCTGCATTTGTTTGGACCTTTTAAGCGATTCTACGAAGGACCTGGCAAGTCTCTCTCCAAAGTGTGCATTTAGAGTAGTCAGGGATCACTTTTTGTTCTTTTCTGTCTTTATTTTGTGGAGATTTTTCATTTGTGCCTCACTGATTAAGCTTCTTCAATAAGATGTGACACTAATAATGCTTTTTTTTTTTTTTTTTTTTTTTTTTTATAAATCTCCTCCATTTTGCAGTTCCACGGTGTCAATCATGCAGGGGGGCGAAATTGACTGTCAAAGAGTTGGCGAAGGTTTCGTGCAGTGGTACTACAACCAGTTTGATCACACCAACAGGATGGAACTGGTTAACCTTTATGTGAGTGTGGTCCGCCAGCGTCCCCTGCTGTGTGTCAGCAATTGATTGTGTAACTGTATTTTGGTCGTTTCTTAGGCTGAAGGCGCTACTCTGACATGGGAAGGAACCCTCTTCCATGGGAGAGAAGCCATCGCTGGCAAACTGACTGTAAGTATTACTTGCAATGTATTGATTTAGAACAGATTAAATACATTTCATCAATGTTAACTTTCAGATGTAACCAGAAATTTAAAAAAAGAACAAATTTGGACTAACTTAACCAAAAAAAAAAAAGGGGGAGATGTCTGCTTTTGCATTTCAACTTATAGTTGTGTTTGGAACCGCACAGGGTATGCCGTTCCAGCAAATTAAGCACATTGTCACAGAGCAAGATATCCAGCCCACAATAGACAACAGCATCCTCATCATGGTCTTTGGACAGTTAAAGGTAAGCGCCACGCTGGATGTCCTCACTAAAATAGGACTTTATTTCAACTTGGCGGTGCAGAGAACACGCGCATTATTGAGGATTGTCAGAAAATGGGCTTCAATGTTGATCATTGTTTTCCAAAGTCAAAGCTAATGTTTTATTTTGATTTAAAACAAAAACATGGAGCGCTACAGAAAATGTCAAATACTTCCTGGCGAGAGGCTGAAATTTTAAGGATTTGGACCATTTGTGAGTGGCGCCTATTTTGAACGGACAACAGGCTACCCACAAACTTGTTTTTTTTTTCTTTTCAGCCATTCACCCCCAAAAAAGTCACTATTCTCCATTGACCGTCGTGTCAATTACACTTACTCCTGAAGCGAGGTTATTATTTGGGAAGAGGCGTTTATCTGATGGGGATGACGCACCATATTTAGGTCGAGATTTGTCTTCAACATCCGCGTGTGATAAATAAAGCATCGATGAACTGGAGCAATTACACTTTCTGCATTTTTGTATTTCACTTGAAAGGGAAAAAGGAGTCCTCTATTTGAGGCAGGGGTTTTGATTTCCATATGTTTGATTTGCCGACAGACCGACAATGATCCACCTTTGGCCTTCCATCAAGTTTTCATGCTGAAGCCGCAGAACTGCAACTGGGTGTGCACGAATGATGTGTTCCGCCTGGGTATACATAACATAGCCGTGGAGCCTCAGTAGCGGACAAGACTTCAAACGACTCTCTCAGAGTCCACCCAGCCAACCACCGAAGCCTGCCCTCCCAATTGCTCATCACGTTCTCTTCGTATGTCGTGTTGTCATCACCCCACCCCAGAGTTAAAAAAAAAAAACAAAAATGTGACAACTGAAATCTTCTGTGTCGTCTCTGTTCATTTGTGGGAATTCTACGATAACATTGGAACATTTATAGCACAGTAACCCCCCAAAACTTTTACAGATTATTTTTTTTAACTAGCTTTATCTCAGTTTTATTGACATATGTCATTTACTCTCCTGATGACAATCTCTTGAGAGGGAATTTAACAGCCTTTTACTTTTATTTTCTTGCCCTCGTGCCTTTAATTGATCCTTGGTACAAAGAAATGTAGGAGACCAGTGAGCGACAGGATCCACTTGGCAAACGCGGTAACTGTTGTTAATAATAATCTTAAAATATTTTGTCACAGAATAGAAAAAGTGCTGATTTTTTTTTTTTTTTTTTTTTAATAAAATAAACCATCCTGTTACGTTTCTTGGGCAAAAATGTTCATGAATCAATCTGACCCACTGTATGTTTAGTAAATATAAATTAAAGATACAAAGAAATAATTTATTATTTACCTTTAAAACAATTTGACCTGCACTAGAACAGGAGAGTTGACTCAATGAAATTCACTCCAAACGTTTTTAAAGACATTGTTTGACTTTTAATCGGATTTGGATGACATCCTCGTGTTTTCAATTTTTTTTTCCCCCCCTCAATATTTTCGTGAGAGTCCTCGGTTAACGACGGAGTTCCATTTATGATGACGGCGACGTAACCCGAACGTGTACGTACGTGTGTAACCTTGGTTGTAAAGCGAGGACTTCCGGTGTCCAGTCGTTCAGTGTTGTACCTAATGTCGTGTCTGGCCGTCTCGTGCAATTCGATGACTGGCCTCCAGGGGGCGCAAGTGTTCCCATCACCTGCCTCTGCCAAAGGACGTCCCTTTAAATCGCTTAGCTTCAAACCCAAAAGCTTCAGGAAACGACAGCGTCGACTCAAGGTGCCGGAATGACACCGACCAAGAAGATCTCAAGACATGGACTGCTTGAGTGACGACCTTCGCGGAGAACCGGTAAGACAATTAAAGGCATCTTAATATTAGCCTTGCTTGCTAACGCTCGCTAGCTCGTGAGCGTGACAATGGAAAGACAAACACCGGCGAATTCTAGTTCGAACCTTTTTCTAAAAATGCACCAGAGGAAACTAATGTGTCTGTTTATGCTTGTCTTTTTGGATTGTTGTCTCGTAGTGCTACTAAAGCACTCGCCCGTAATAAATAAATTTAAAAATGGGGACATATTTGTAGACACTATGTTTCTAATACTAATTGATTACAAAACGATGCAAACATTCGAATGAAAATGTTGGATATCATTGTCACCATTAGCCTTTTGAGACGTTCAAAAAAATCATTCTTATCACTCAATTTGCGTATATGTTGAACTATTTATTTATTCGACCTAATCAAAAACTTTTAAATGGGTTGCAGATAAACGATATAGCAAACTATTCAGAGGAAAAATGCCTTTCAAAATATCTGGTAATAAAACATGTTTTTCAAGGAATGTACAGTGCTTTTGTGTACAATGAAGGCTGTATTCTGCTCATATTTCGTCATGCTATATAACTTTCCCATGCCCGCAGTGTAGCTTTGCGTCCTTGTACCAATCATCACCTAGAATTGGAATACTCCCTGCTGAAGACGCACAAACATTGGAATGCGCTAGTTGATACAAGCTGAGAATCGGTTTAGGAGAAACGAAAGTTATGATATCACACTTTGTGTCTCGGTACCACCCTTCTGATGGTATAAAAATGACGTGAATCTCTTCCTGCTTCGCACCCACGAATTACAGCCATTGTCTGTAGTTCGTGGGTGCCCGGAATATTCTGTTATTAAAAGCTTCGAATGAACTGTTCATGGACACCAGCCTTTATTTGAAGAACCAACATTCTCCTCGTCCGAAATTCAACGAACACGGGAGGAAGAGGAGGCCGCTCTTCCCCCAACATCATCCATGCTCCTGGGGATTAACAATAATAAGACAAGAAATATATATTTTGGTACCACTATCATAAACATTGTGACATAATATTTTCGAATTCTTTTTCTGCATAGAATGGCGTAAAAGACATCAACACCGACTGCCAGGAGGATGAGCCTCTGCTCCGAGAGAACCCCAGACGCTTCGTCATTTTCCCCATCCAGTACCTCGAAGTGTGGAAGATGTACAAGCAGGCCCAGGCTTCCTTTTGGACAGTGGAAGAGGTCCGCATCCTTTTCCACATCCTCGCCCACAACTACTAAAATACTTCATATAAAACACTCTGCCTCTTTCAGGTGGATCTCTCCAAAGACCTGGCGCACTGGGACCGGCTCAAACCTGAGGAGAAGCATTTCATCTCGCATGTCCTGGCCTTCTTCGCTGCCAGCGATGGCATTGTGAATGAGAACTTGGTGAGATTCAAGGGTAGTGTTGGAAAGTGGAGGAATTAACATTTCACACAAACAAATGCTGCCAGGGCAGGGAATCCTGATGTAGTGATCAGGTGTAGTAGTAAGTTGGCTGAATGATTCAGAATGTACAATAGCTGCGTTCGCAGTAGATTAATACAAGACCAAGGTTTTGTCAGTAGCCTTTTCAGTGGCAAACAATCAACCACTTTTTCCATTGGCATGCTTCCTAAATAACATTCTTTTGTTTTAAGTTACTAAGTATGTAAATTAAGCATTTAACGTTCCATCCTGTGGTGATGTTTTCCTGTACTTTTTTTTCTGCTACAACTTCTCTCATGCTGAGGATCAATAGCCTGCAAACAGAAAAAGTTTTTTTTTCTCCGATATGGACACTAAGCCGTCGTGGGATACATTGTGGCCTCTATTGCTCATTCTTGTTTGCTGCTTTTCAAGACTGGGAACAACTTTTGCTCACGACACATTGGAACGCCGCTACATGATAACATAGTCTCATATGATGTACCTGAAACCGATACTTGACCAACAGGATAAGTGTCTGAACAGAAGAAAACGGGAGTATAAGTGAAAGGCTGTTACTTGAGTAAAAGTGGAATGGAAACCCATCGAAAGGCTTCCTGAAAACCATTAACTTCCTCAGACCGTGTTTCATTTTCATGAGATTGAGTTAAATTCACTGGCACCATACAGCGTCCGTATCTTACATTTTAGCTGCCAGATCAAAAAAAAAAAAAAAAAAAACATCCCCCAAATGACACTTCATATCTTTATAAACTCATGAGTTGGGTCACTCGCATCTTAAGGCAGCGCTGTACTACAGTATCACGTGTGTTTACTTGTGCAACCAGGTAAAGAGATTCTGCGAGGAGGTCCAGGTCCCCGAGGCACGCGCCTTCTACAGCTTCCAAATCCTGATGGAGACGGTGCACTCGGAGATGTACAGCATACTCATCAACACCTACATACAGGATCTCAAGGAAAGGTCCGATTCTGCCTTAATTGTGTTTGTCAAGCAGTTGGGTTTTTTTTTCCACCCCTTCATCAAACACAAAACAACATCAACAGCTCAACGGCGGCTCAGGGGAAAGAACCGTTTTCAGCCGTGCAGCTGTTTGAGAATACGATAAATCCTCTAGACCACTTTACCAACTGTTTATCAAACGCAGCACCTGGAGCGATTTTGTTTTTTGTTTTTGTTTTTTTAACCGCCATACAAATGTCAAAGAATAAATTAACCCCCATACAGTGATGGAATCACACAAAAAAGCTCAAGAAAGACCAAAACTTAAGAGTATGTGGGACATCTTGGGCTTTTTTGTGATGCCACCACAGAGGCGATTGGAAAGAGGAAGTGCCATGATAAACACAAAGCTGGAAACGAAACCAATTTGGGGGAAAATCCATTTGTTTACTATGTTGTCATATTTCCAGAGACTCTCTCTTCAACGCCATTCAATTGCTCCCATGTGTCAAGCGTAAGGCCGACTGGGCGCTCCAGTGGATAAATGACAGCCAGTCCACCTTTGGTGAGAAACGATATCAAGCGCTTATTCAACTCCTGGACCTCGGTTAAACACACACACACACACACACACACACACAAAGGGAGGACACATTGAAGTGCACTCACGTTCAAAAGTAAATAAAGGGAGGACACATTGAAGTGCACTCACGTACAAAAGTAAAAATGAATGAATTTTTACTGTCACTGTCATACAATACTCAAAATGTTGCTCAAGAGAAAAAAACTTCACCTAGTTTGCTTCTTTTATTATTTCTGATTGTGTTTGAACTGAGAAGAGAAAAAAAATTGTCACATGTGCAAGAGCGAGCCAACAACAACCCAATTCATCTTGCCCCATTGAAATGAATGAAAATGCCATTAATCCGTTCCAGCACCACAAAAAACAAAACAAAAAAACCCACCAATAAATAATTCAAAAAGGAATTCAAAAGTATTTTACTTTATTTAAAAAAATGCAACAATAATTTAATAGAATGGCATAGAATGAAAACGTTTTTGTATCACAATTTCATGCTGTCATTAACATTGTGGCCCTCCTGGTATGTGTACCTTGGCGACCACGAAGCAGTAATATAGAAGGCATGCATAATACACGAAGCATAAACTGCAATAAAATTCAGCGTTGCTCTGGAAAAACTCGCCTCATTTGTATGTGTAGAAACTGCCTGACAATTCGATTAAAGTAGAATAACAAAGTCTTTGTTACTTGCCACCACTGATAATCAGTAAGCTAACACGTGTCTTTGGTGCTGGCAGCCGAGCGACTTGTGGCTTTTGCAGCGGTGGAGGGCATCTTCTTCTCCGGCTCCTTCGCCGCCATCTACTGGTTGAAGAAAAGAGGCCTCATGCCCGGCCTCACCTACTCCAACGAGCTCATCAGCCGGGACGAGGTGAAGTCCTTTGCTCGCCCAAAGTCACAAGTGATAAGCACGTGGCGGCTCATGCAGCACTCTACATTTTCTTTAGGGACTGCACTGCAACTTTGCCTGTCTGCTGTACAGCTACCTGGTGAAGAAGCCTTCCGAGGACCGTGTGAAGGACATCATCACCGAGGCCGTTAGCATCGAGAAGGTCGGCCAGTTTAAGCGTCTTTTCCCAATGGCCCGGCATACTTAAACATTGCCTGGTTTTGCCGAGTCAGGACTTTCTGACTGAGGCCTTACCGGTGGAGCTGATTGGAATCAACTCTTCCCTCATGAAGCAGTACATCCAGTATGTGGCTGACCACCTCCTCACTGACCTGGGACTAGCAAAGGTAATCCTGCTAAATCAAGCAAGTGGTTATTTAGGCCAGCGGTGTCTGACTCATTTTAATTCAGGGGTTGCATTCGCCCCAATTTGTGATCAAATGAGCCGAACCAGTATATTTGATCTAATAAGCTTTAAATATTGTTGTAAGACACAGGGCCGTTATCCCAAATGTTTCCCATCTCTCCCGGCTGCAACGCACCTCATTCAAACGATCACGAATCATTATCGGCCTCCTGCAGAGCTCGCCGATGAGCTGAACATTTGAATGAGGTTTGACAATAAACCTGCCAAGTTGAGATTCACTGCCTAACATTGATCTTCAATTCAAAAGCTGTGCTGATCTCCAATCTAAAGTGATTCACTGCCGCCATCTCCTGGCAGCTGTGAGTCATAACGGTGGTTCACAAACCTGAATTTCACCGACAACTTGCATGAGATCCCCTTCCACGCCTGCCTGTCGCAAAACACATTGGACAAATATATTCGTTGGTGGCAGTAAACGATCAGATTCCAGCTAACCCATAGAATCCCAAAACAGGCTCTTTTATGTCACTCTGTAGATGCTGCTATTTTGGTTCGCAACAGAATTCAAATGGGTTCAGTATTTCACTGACCAACAAATGTGATATTTGCTGAATGTTCATGAAAATGAATGCGCTTCTCGATGTTATTATTTTTAACTTTTAACTTTTTTTTGAAGGTTTACTTGTCCGAGAACCCGTTCGACTTCATGGAGTCTATTTCACTGGAGGGGAAGACCAATTTCTTTGAGAAGCGAGTGGGCGAGTACCAGAGATTCGGAGTCATGTCCAGCATGATGGACTGCGAGTTCACTCTGGACGCCGACTTTTGAAGTTCCATCTTTTTTTCTTTTTTTGAAATGTATTTAAGTCACGCATTCAGGCTCGCAAATACCAAAAAACAAAACATTCACATCTTCTCGTGTTCAGTCAGTCATATCGTGCAGTAAAACTCATCCAGGATATTCAAACCCATATTAGCAAAACTACAACAACTCTGTGATTTTGGTCTGTAGCTCTTACATGTTTCTGGAATGTGGGAGGAAGCCAGAGTATCAGAAGAAACCCATGCTTGCGAGGGTTTTCTCTCAGTGCTTTGGCAAACGTACAAGGTCCACACAAGAAGGTTGGAGCCCGGTTTCAAACCCCGCAACCTCAGAACTGTGAGGCGGATGCGCAAACCACTCATGCACCATGGTACCAAGATCTTATTTTAAAAAGCAGGAATTATTTTAGAGTTTGTACCCAAAGAAAATATTTTATCTTTATAAAAGTAAAGACTGTTATAGATTCATCATGTCTTCATTGTTAACGTAAAATGAAACACATGTCTGTGCTTTAATTAACTGTGTAGCAATTTTATTTGATCAATTTAATTAGATGACTCATTACAGTATAACAGAGTTGATATAGAGCACCCTTGTATTTACTATGTGAAAATGTTTTCACTAGTTTATATGCTAAACAGAGTAGTATCACAAGAAAAATCAAAATAATTTAGCTCTCTTTTTTATTGTACAGTAGAGGGGATGACGAAATGTGATTTTTTTAAATTTTTTTTTTTTTAATCGTGTGATCCAATTGATACCTGAAGCAGTATTTCGACTAAATTATTTCTGCGCCTTCTCTCGGTCTACACTCCTGTGCACACGGTGAAGAAGTAAAAGCACGACGTGGTGGAATCCTGACGTCACCGCTCCGTTAGCATACAGTTGCTAACAGCGAGCAACTAGTAGGCTAACAGTTAGCCTTGTGCATCTCCGGTCCTCAGCTTCATTCGTACCCCACCATGGCTGGAGGAGACTGGCGAGGCTTTGCGATGGAAGAAGCTGAGCTCCTCTCCGGGCGCCTGAAGGACCTGCTGTCCTCCGGCCAAGCGTATGTTATTTCTGCTCCTTCTCTCGGTCTACACTCCTGTGCACACGGTGGCGGTAAAAGAATAGTAAGTCGCCAAAAAAAAAATCCACTGAAGAAGTAAAAGCACGACGTGGTGGAATCCTGACGTCACCGCTCCGTTAGCATACAGTTGCTAACAGCGAGCAACTAGTAGGCTAACAGTTAGCCTTGTGCATCTCCGGTCCTCAGCTTCATTCGTACCCCACCATGGCTGGAGGAGACTGGCGAGGCTTTGCGATGGAAGAAGCTGAGCTCCTTTCCGGGCGCCTGAAGGACCTGCTGTCCTCCGGCCAAGCGTATGTCCGCAGCCACCTGGGCTTGGACTTGGGTCTGGCGCCCGAGCTATACCCGACCTGGCTCATGTTGGCGACGGCAGGCATGGGCGCGCTGCTCCTGCTCGCCGTCTCCTGGGCCGCCATCTGCGGCGGCGGCGGCAGCAGGAGTAAACGGAGCATCCGGATGGTCACCCGCGGCGGCCCGCCCGTCGCCAAGACTCCGGTGACCAAGACGGTTAAACCGGAAGAGACGAAGAAAAGAAACGCCAAGAAAGCGGGGGAGAAGGTCTGACGTTTTAAGCTCGTCGAGTCTTGAACAACTGAGCGTCGGATAGCGTGTTTAGCTAAAGTCAATTAACTTGGTTTATTCGGAGTAATAACGAGGACGCCATTTTGTAATAAGATTCAATAGGCAAGGCTTATTGTTGAGCTAATGGCATGTCATGTTCAAATTCATTCAGTTTCGATTTCCAAACCGCGGAAGAATCCTCATGAACTGTCATTACATCAGTCGCTTATTATTCAGCCAAAATTATAGTTTGACTAGAGAAGGTGTCTGGTTGGTAAACAATTGAAGTGATTTATTCATACCGTAAATATACTGTGCTGTCCAACACCCCTCATAACTATAAACACGAAACAATTGTTAACATTTTAACTCGAATCATTCTAAAGGCAGTTGTATGAAATATGTCAATGCCACATTTCAGCAGAAGCTTCAGCCCAACGGAAAGCCTGCTGCTGCGTTGGTAGTGCAACAGGAAGTCAAAGTCCCGGAGGTGCTTTCCAAACTGCACCCGCCGTCCACCAAAACCCGGAAGGTACATTTGCCGGATCCTCTTTTAGCTCAAAAATCTGATTATGCCTTAGTTTGCGTGCTTGTCGACAGGCGCCCGAAGCACAGCCGCCTGTGCAATTGAAAAAAGACAAGAAGAAAAGCAAGATCAGTGTTAAACCAGCACAATATGTGATCACGCATGATGGGAAAGAACTCGACGAAGGTAACAAACCTCCGACATTGTGTTGCTAACAAAAACGGAAGCACGTAAAATCGTGAAAGTGTGGCATCTTACCACAATGTGTAAATGTGCAAAAGATGATCTCAAGTAATGAAATGGCTTAAGACACTTGTTATTTTGGCCTATAGGCGCCTGGGAAACCAAGGTCAGTAACCGTGAGAAGAAGCAGCAGCGGCGGAAGGACAAAGGCGCCGACTCCTTCAGTGGCCAAGAAGGGACGCACGCTGCCCAGAGCCACGTGGAGTCCAACAGCAATGTGAAGAAGAAAAACAAAAGGGCCAATGGTATGTTTGAGTTCAGGAGCATCAATGCATGTGTACCTAATAAAGTGGCATATAATCCCACTTTGGACCTCCTTTCAGATTCTCAAAACTCAAAATCAGCCGCCAAAGCCTCATCCAGCCAAGGAGGCGACGGCGTCAACAGCGGAGGGTGGACCGACTTGTCTGCCATGGTCCCGCCGGCTCACATGGGTTCCACCGAGCCGAGCAAGTTCGGTTCTCACTACCGCGCCCGAGCCGAACCCCGGTCCTGGTCCCAGGAGTCACAAGGGGGCGCCCAGACATGGGTGGCCAACATAAAATCGGACCATGACCCGGTCTCTTTGTCCATGCTGCGCCTGAACGCGACGCCAGGTACAACAGATGAACGATACCTCGTCACACTTTCTGTTTGAAGGCCGTACCTCAATCCCTCCTGTTCTGTCCATCTTCTCTCTGCCAGACCCACTGTCCAAGTGGACAGTGGATCTGCATTGGACCACCCACGCTGACGATGAATGGGGCGGTACAAGTGAGTGTGTTCAACCCGCCCCCTTCACTTGACTTCACTTAAAAGTGTCTCTTCCGCAGAGGGTGCGGACTCCGACTGGAATGCCCCCGCGGAGCACTGGGGCAACTACGAGGAGCCCCCTGTGGTGACGAGGCTGCTGACTCAGCTGAAGCAGCGGACTTTGACCAATAAGGTCTCACTCTTCAAAGTCGTAATGACGCCACGTCAGATTTTTTGGGAGGGGTTGGTTGCTTCAAGAAATACATTGGTGGTCTTTGTAGGTGTCAGAGGACAATGACGATCCAGCAGAGGGCGCCGCTAAGTCGAAGAAGAAGAGAAAAAAGAAGACGGCGAGCAAAGAGGAGGACATACCTGAGGCTCAGGCAAGACATGTTTTGGTTATTACGTCATTATAAGAGATTAGATTGACAAAAAATATATATATATCCGCAAAGTTTGCTTCAGGGTCTATAAATTTGACGTGTCACTTGATGGGGCTTTGCCGGAATGCTGGTGATTTTTGATGTTTGGCGGCACAGTTAATCTTCACCTCAATAGAATCAGCTAAGCAGCTGTCCACCAAATTTGGAGATGGTCCAATAACAAGTGGGGGGGGGGGGATTTTTTTTTTCTCCAGGTTTTGATATTTGACCCCATCCCCTTGAGTTTAAATTTCAAAAGTCGACCCATGTCAAACTGGAGACGCTACGCGGTGAAGATCACATGTTCCCATGCACATTTGGGGACGTTTTGGCAAGTTAGCAATGTTTACTGTTTGGTAGGGGGAAAAATGTGTTCATGTTTTTTGAAATGCACGCAGCAGGGAGCGAAATGTGCTTCTGTTTTGTGAAATCAAAGTGTTGTGGTTGACCAATATTAGGCGGTAAACTCGCTACCCAAACCTGAAGATCTTCCGGTCGCTGCCTCCAAAAAGCCGAGCATATCATCAACCCGGAGTGAGTCTGAATTTGTCTTGAAAAAGGAAACCAGCAAATGAGCACGCTGAACCGCATCCGTTTTGTGTTTGGTAGAGCGACCCGAGAAAAACGCTGGCAACGACGGCGGCGGAAACGGCAAAAAAAGACAAGAAAAAGGCCAGAAGGGAAACGTAGTAGTCACCTGACGACCCGACCCCTTTTCCGACCTTTTTATGCAAATGATTGTGGAATTTGTCAATATGCAATAATGAGCAGCTTCTGTCTGGAATTGTTTTTTTTTTAATCCAATTATTGATTAATAATGAGACGAAGATGATCACTTACTGGGCGACATGAAGTTGATGGAATGTGGAGAGGAGGGAGTCCGACGCACTCGAGTCTAATTTGCACTATTTTTACTGCACACTGGACTTTTGCTGTGGTTTTTATCATTTGAGTAATTTTAGGTTGCATTTTTTTTTTTGCACTTATTTGTTTACACTTTGAATGACTTCCCTGCTGTCATTGTAAAAAAAAAAAATCTAACAGTGACTTGGGGACATTATTTGCCGTAAAAGTGAAGTCAATTGAATTTGCCTTGAGGGATTATTGTATGTCAGTCCACAAGGGGGCGCTGTAACGTTAGGTGTGTTTCAAAACTAGAATCTCGTTTTTAAATCCAGAGAACTGTGATGTTCGAAATTATGATTTCAAGTTGAAAACAGAGGTTATTGAGGAGCCATTGCGGGTAGTTGGAATGTGAAAAAGTAGATGCAACATTTTAATTTAGTATTTCATAAGTATGTGAAAATCAAACATGAAATTTACTGTAAAATTGATAAAACAACAATGTGAACCAAATTAAGAGCCCCCATGGAGTCCTGGATTGTCAACATTAGTTCTTGAATACCAATTAAAATGAAGAGCTACCAGGGGTTAATAAATCGCGAAATCACGAACTGTTTTTTTTTAATTGATGGAAAATTAACAAGATTTCATCGAGCACTACCATGTGTCAGTGCAGTGCAATAAAAAAAAAGATTTGTATTTAAAAATGACAATTGAATTTAAAACCACTAGGGGGCAGTGTCCTACCAAATGAAGTCAAAATGGAGCACTGTAAAGACACTTATAATGTACCGAACCATCCATCTGTTATCCGAGCCGCTATATTGTAATATAAATAAATATTGGCATATCACATTTATTATCTCGCGTTTCAACTACATTTGGATTCCCGAAGGTTGACCCCGCCCCTTTGTGAATGGTGATAATACCGAGCAGGAAAGCGATTGCGATGAACCTGAACTGGCCACCGATGTATATGGTCAAAAGGACACTCGCTCGCACCTGTTTGCGGACTTTATGATGATGATGATGATGATTTTATTTTTACATAATGATCTGGCTGTAAAGCGGAACATGAAAAACAAGCAAACCGCAGGAATTTGATTCCGTTGCCTTAACCCGCCGTTAGTCGTGTATTAAAGTGCACGGCGACCCGTGTTTGAGTTTTCACCGCGGTTTCCTTCCAATTAAGTTTTGATGTCAACCGAGGTTGTTTGTCAATTAAAGAGAACAAAAATAAATGTTACTGGGGGAGGGGGAGGTTGATTTTTACTGATGATTCAATCCATGTATTTCTATTACTCGTCTGGAAGAAATGTTTATTCAGGTGATACAAATGATGTTTTTATGTCTCAACATGTCCAAATAAATTGCTTGATTTTACCCGTGGAAGCGCATCAATATGACTGTATTTTCAATGTCCCGTGTTTACTTCTTACCAGTATGTAAAAGAGCCCATGATGAAGATTTCTTGATTCAAAACATGTCAAATGTTTATTGCAAAACAGTATGTTTGAGGGTAAAAAAGTGTTGATCGAAAAAACTGGCAATAGGTTAAGCTTCACACCGCCATCTCCCGTCACAATACTCTCAGGTAACTTCAGACCGACTTTGATCGATCACGAGCTGATTGCGAGTTGAGTCGTTTGCAATTCTGGCTCTTCTTCGTTGGAAGTTTTCGTCCGGGTCGCACTGGCCTTTTGGATATTTTCAGACTTTTATCTTTGTCGTTGACTCAAAGACAAGTCGACTCGGCGACAGATTCGGGCTCGGAAGGAGGCCCAGAAGTGAGCTCGGAATCGCCGTCAACAGCTGCGGGGTGGCAAACACAGCGTTTAGGCTTCAACGCTCATTTGCGGCGAGACGAAAACAGGTGACATTTTACTTACATGCTGCCGTGTATTTGGCTGCAAGGAAAAAACACACAAAAAAAAGAGACAAGTTGCAGTTTGTTTTGGTGCCAAGTCTTGCCAACCAGATACACATTTGCGTCACCTTGTCTGCTTTTGTGAAGCTTGACGAGGACCACGAACAGCAGCGCCAGCAGAACGAGGAGCGCGACGGGGATCGCCACGGCCAGCGTCATCTTCCTGATTTCTTCCTCTGCACAAGAGCAAAGAAGATGTGAGAAGGAAGACGTCGGGCCGGGTTGGCGTGCCAGCTGGCTCACCTCGGTCGCGCTCGTTGCTCAGGATGAGTCTTCTGTCCAGCTTGGTGACCCTGGTGGCCTCCGCCGGACAGCTGGAAGACGCATTCGTAGCGGTCCTCCGCGTCGGCCGGCAGCTCCGCATTCAGGTGGGCCGTCATCTGGAAGGTTCCGTCGTGGTTGGGGAGGGTCTCTCCCATCTCCACGTCCTCGTGGAGGTCCGCGCCGTCCTTCCTCCAGAAAAGGGCGGCTTTGTAGGGGTAGAAACCCGTCACGTGGCAGGTGATCGGAGACGACGGCGTCTTCTGCAGCAGGGACATCACCGGCAGCTCTGCGCGCAAAGTTAGACATGCGGAGAAGAAAAAGTGAGACGGTGGCAAAGAAAATGTGTTGAGAGAAGAGAGAGGAGGTTGCCATGGCAGCCATTTTGCTCCAGGGGAGGGCGTTCTGGTACCTGTTCTCATCAAGAAGTCCCTCCCATATTTCAAAAACATCTTCAGCAAAGAAGGACAAATCTCCATGTGGTAATGCTGCTTGAATTTACGATAGGCGTCCAATTGGTCCAGCTTGAGTTTGGTGGCGAAAGCTTGCGGATGGACGGCGATCCATGTCCACGTCTGCAGGTCAAACGTCAGGAAGTCTTCCCCGTTGTAACTGATGTCAGTCGAACCGTCAAACTTGTCAGCCTCTTGGTCCCATTCGCAGCCAGATATCCTCTGAAACATGTGAACACCTGACACGATGACACAAACGTCTGAAACAGGATGTGCTGAGATCAGGTCGCACTCGCATATTCTGGAGTAAAAAGAGAATTTCATCCGTCCAGCCATTCTCTGAAGCGTTTCCCCTCCTGATGGGTCGCGCGTGTGCCGGAGCCTATCCCAGCTGTCTTTAAGCGAGAGGCGGGGGCACAGCCAATCGGTGGCCTGCCAATTGCAAGACACAAATGAAGAAAGAACTGTTCACACATTTGGACAATTTCGAGTCAAGAGTGAAGCTCCCGTGCGTGTTTTTGGAATGCGGGAGCAAACCGTTTAGTATCCGGAGAAAAAAATATTTGGAATTTGACCCTACGACTTCGGCACTGTAAGGCGGATGTGCTAACCAGTCATCCACCCTGACGCCCCAGGACAATTTTTTCGCAAATTAAAAATCCAATGCAATTTTTTTTTTAAATCCCAAATGTCCCTCAGCAAGCAGTCATCGCTGTCAACCGCAGTCTCTGAAAGTAAAAAAGTGGGTGAGCACATGAAATGTCTTTTTCTCAAAGAAAGTTGATGGTAAACAAACCTCCAGTGTGGTTGAGGCGCTCTCTCATCTTTGCCAAAATGTCTTTGTTGGACTGCTGGTTATAATTCATCCTGTCTCTCATGCTCTCCCAGAAGTGGGGATCCTCGAGTGTGACTTTGTTCATCCACTCCTGTGTGGGTTCACACGTCCCGCTCTTGCTGTGGCAGTGAATTATCTGAACGTCGTCAACATAATAAACCACCCAATAGTCTACCGTGTTTGGAGTTGGAGAATACGCAGTTTTAAAATACTTGTGCGAGTGGATCACTGAAAGAAAAACACAAAAACATTTTTTTTAATGCTCAAATCGTTCAGCAAACTCCAAACATCTTCTTCCAGAAAGGCAAATCATCTGCATCAATTCCACGTTTCTTGCTAAAATGACAACATTGAAAATTGTCTTCACTTTCAGTCACATGCAGATGTTCCAAGTATTTTTTGTTGTTGTTTCGCATCACCCGTTTAAAACGTTTGAAAAATATGTAGATTTTTTTTTGACTGGCTTCTGATTTCGAAATTAGTTGTCCTTCACTGTAAACGTGTTGTATGAAACATATATTCATGTTGGCCCTCAGACGGAAGCCATAACGACGATTTTGAGTTTGACATCCTTAAACTTTGTGATTTAATCGATGATCTATTTTTCGACATTGAAATTGATGAACTCTGTGCGGGAAAAAAATTCCCAAAAAACTACTGCGATTCTAATCGTAATTTTGATGTGTTGTGGACCACAAAGTTCCACAACTTGTGTCGAAGGAACTTTGTCCTGAGCAGGGAAACGGTTGCTTCTTGAAGTACGTCAATCCGCGAAAACTCAACTCAAACGAAACCGAAAGGCAGAATCCACGTGACGCACTTACCAGGCCTCACAACTTGGAACTGCGCAGCCACCACAAACAGCCCAAATAAAATAATCATCTTCGACATCTTCTGCTCCTTTCAGTCCAACCACAGCAAACTAAAATAACCTGTCCGCCTCATCCGATCACGACAAGCCAGCCTGGCGATGACGTCACGTGCGTCAAGTCGGATTGCTGCGACTCCTTCCCCAAGTTCACATTACGTCGATTTGTTTTGCGGTTCAAATTAAGTGGTGTCCGCGTAAGAAGAGATGAAAAGCAGCCACGCTTTCATTCTCAGTGGCTAGTAGCCGTCAAGACCAGAAGCAAGCACTTCGCTTTCGGAGAAATCACGTGACCACACAAGTGGGCTGAAAGCAACGAATAGCGGTGGCTGCAGAGCGAAGTTGAAGGCGTGCTTGAAGGTGGGCTGGGTCAAAACGCCTGACTCCCAACTTTAATCGAAAGTTCTTCAGACATCGCTCTGTCGTGATGGAGGCAGCTGCACAATCAACGGGTACAGGTTGATCGTCTGTAAAACAAATCATATACATGTATATGAAATTTTTACCTGTGTCCTTGTTTGTTTTGTTATTACCAAAGGAGTGGGCGTTATTTTTCAGACGACTTACCAGCGAATTGTAAATGAAAGCTCACTTAACTTTCTGATGCCGTCAAAGTATCTTCATGGTCGGCCTCCCTGGTGACCTCTGTCTCTTGTCGCCGATTAATGCGTTGACATCTGTGGAAACATTTCTGAGAGAGAGAGAGAAAGAGAGAGAGAGAGAGAGATGCTTGTGTGTGTTTATAAACTCATGCATCGACAAGTTTTTCAATTTGGTGTTCAAATATCAGTCTATACTGGATTTTTCCTGCAACAAATTCATATTTAAGACAAACTATAATTCTGCTGGATTTTACAGTTTTACTTTGCAAGTTTTGAGTGTCCACTTGGTGAAACGGCTGCTGTATATGAAAATACAGATGGAACGAAATCTGGACGACCATGTTCCAGGGATGCTTTTCCTGTCAAATTTAAAAATTCAATTGAAGGATTTATATGATAAATATGCAGTGAGAAAGATATACGCACGCACACACCTGTGTGTGTTGTGAAGCATGTTTTTATCATTTGGCGTTAGTATGGCTGAATACGTTTGTGTTTAACATGTGCATGAAGCATTGAAGAGTTGCTTCCCACACAAATTGTCAACACGTTTGACTGTAAAGACGACATATCAACTGCTTCACTCATGCTATACTTCATGATTTTCACTCATTTGTTACTTTCGATAGTTGAACATTATTCTAGGCATTCACAACTTAGAATAATATAATGTGACATGGTAGATCTGACTCGCAAGTACTTACCAGATATGAAGTGAGCACTGCAAAGACGAGCATTGCCTCCTCAGTCCAATTCTCTCGTCGTCAAGCTTATGTAAGCTTATGTTATATTATTAATTATGATAATTTTATGTTTGAGCTTCATATTATTTCATGTTCAGAATACCTAAATTATATTCTGTTGTTTAATAATTGCCTTGACGTGTTTTTTTTTTGTTGTTGATCGGTTCTGATTGGCTGTTGAAGTCAGAGAAGCAGGAAGTGATTTGAGTTACGAGGAGAGTTGTGTTCTCGAACGTGCTCAGGTACAGATACCTTTTTTTCCCTTTTGATAAAACTGCATTTAAAGGATTCCATCTCTCCTTTTGCCGTTCGTAAAGTAGAGCTATCCACAAAAAAAAAAAACAGCGAACCCATCAACTTAGGAAGAGCAAAAGGAACACACCTTATGATCTGGCTGTAAAGCGTGAACTTTTTAAGTGGAACATGAAAAACAAGCAACAGCAGGAATTTGATTCCGTCGCCTTTACCCGCCGTTAGTTGTGGATAAAAGCGCACGGCGACCTGTTTGTTTTTACCGTGGTTTCCTTCCGTGACGTCAACCAAGTCTTGCACGACTTTGAGAAATAAGAATAAAGATTAATGAGACTGGTGAATCGAAAAGAGCAGCTGAGCTGACTTTATTCAGGTGACACAAATGATGTTTTTATGTCTCAACGTGTACAAATAAATTGCTTGATTTTACCCGTGCAAGCGCATCAACATGACTGTATTTTAAATTTCCCGTGTTTACTTCTTACCAGTATGTAAAAGAGCCCATGATGAAGATTTCTTGATTAAAAACGTGTCAAATGTTGATTGCAAAACAGGACGTTTGAGGGTGAAAAAGTGTTGATGGAAAAAACTGGCAAGAGCTTCACACCGCCATCTGCCGTCACAAGACTCTCAGGTAACTTCAGACCGACTTTGATCGATCACGAGCTGATTGTCATGATGAGACTGCTGATTTCATACAAATTAAATTATAAATGAACACAAGAAAGCAACTCGATCAAATCTCCAAGACACCAAAGCCAGCAAAAAAAATTAAAACAGCAGTGCGCAAATCATCTTTGTGAAGAACAACTCCGATCTTTTCCCTGTTGTGAAATCCAAGCCTGACAGGAAAGCCTTTGGATGGAGACACCTCAGTTGTCTTCCAACACCTGGAGGAAGACGAGCACAGCAAATGGCACATCTGAATCTTGAAAGAGTCCCAAGAACATGCGGAGGCCATGTTGACGAACTAACTCACCAGGTGAAGGTGGCCGCATCTCACAGAGAAGTGGGCTCGGAAACGCGTTCGGAATCGGGCTCGGAAGGAGGCCCAGGAGTGAGCTCGGAATCGCCGTCAACAGCTGCGGGGCGCAAACACAGCGTTTGTGCTTCAACGCTCATTTGCGGTGGGACGAAAACAGGTGACGTTTTACTTACATGCTGCCGTGTATTTGGCTGCAAGGAAAAAACACACACAAAAAAAAGAGACAAGTTGCAGTTTGTTTTGGTGCCAAGTCTTGCCGATCAGACACGCATTTGCGTCCCTCACCTCGTCTGCTTTTGTAAAGCTTGACGAAGACCACGAGCAGCAGCGCCAGCAGAACGAGGAGCACGACGGGGATCGCCACGGCCAGCGTCATCTTCCTGATTTCTTCCTCTGCACAAGAGCAAAGAAGATGTGAGAAGGAAGACGTCGGGCCGGGTTGGCGTGCCGGCTGGCTCACCTCGGTCGCGCTCGTTGCTCAGGATGAGTCTTCTGTCCAGCTTGGTGACCATGTCGCCCTCGACGCCGGACAGCTGGAAGACGCATTCGTAGCGGTCCTCCGCGTCGGCCGGCAGCTCCGCTTTCAGGTGGGCCGTCATCTGGAAGGTTCCGTCGTGGTTGGGGAGGGTCTCTCCCATCTCCACGTCCTCGTGGAGGTCCGCGCCGTCCTTCCTCCAGAAAAGGGCGGCTTTGTAGGGGTAGAAACCCGTCACGTGGCAGGTGATCGGAGACGACGGCGTCTTCTGCAGCAGGGACATCACCGGCAGCTCTGCGCGCAAAGTCAGACATGCGGAGAAGAAAAAGTGAGAGCAGGTTGCCATGGCAGCCATGTTGCTCCGGAGAGGGCGTCCTGGTACCTGTTCTCAGCACGACGTCACTCCCATATTTCAAATATTTCTTCATCCAAGAAGGACAAATCTCCATGTGGTAACGCTGCTTGTATTGACGATAGGCGTCCAATTGGTCCCACTTGAGTTTGGTGGCGAAAGCTTGCGGATGGACAGCGATCCATGTCAGCGTCTGCAGGTCAAACGTCAGGTAGTCTTCTCCGTCGTGACTAATGTGAGTCGAACCGTAAATCTTGTCAGCCTCTTCGTCCCAATCGCAGCCAGAGATCCTCTGGATCATGTGAACACCTGACACGATGACACACACAAACGTCAGAGACAGGATGTGCTGAGATCAGGTCGCGCTCACATATTCTAGAATAAAAAGAGAATTTCATCCGTCCAGCCATTCTCTGAAGCGTTTCCCCTCCTGATGGGTCGCGCGTGTGCCGGAGCCTATCCCAGCTGTCTTGAAGCGAGAGGCGGGGGGACAGGCAACTGGGCGCCTGCCAATCACAAGACACAAATGAAGAAAGAACTGTTCACACATTTGGACAATTCTGAGTCAAGAGTGAAGGTCCTGTGCATGTTTTTGGAATGTGGGAGCAAACCGTGAGCATCTGGAGAAAAAAACACCTAAAATTTGAACCCACGACTTTGGGATCACACTCCCCAGCCTCCCTGGTAAGGTCTATTAAAGGGGGCTGGAGAGGAGGGCCCGTCAGGAAGTCGAGTCTCAGATTGAGGAGGAGCAGTGTGGTTTTCGTCCCGGCCATGGAACTGTGGACCAGCTCTACACCCTTAGCAGGGTCCTTGAGGGTATGTGGGAACTCGCCCAACCAGTCTACATGTGCTTTGTGAACTTGGAGAAGGAGTTTGACCCTATACCACCGATGTCAGAGTTTGGTTCGCATTGCCGGCAGTAAGTCGGAATCGTTTCCAGTGAGGGTTGGACTCCGCCAAGGCTGTCCTTTGTCGCCGATTCTGTTCATCACCTTCATGGACAGAATTTCTAGGCACAGCCGAAGCGTTGGGGGGGTCCGTTTTGGTGGCCTCAGTCTTGCATCTCTGCTTTTTGCGGATGATGTGGTACTGTTGGCTCCTTCAAGCAGGGCTCTCCAACTCTCACTGGAGCGTTTCGCAGCTGAGTGTGAAGCGGTTGGGATGAAGATCAGCACCTCCAAATCTGAAACAATGGTCCTCAGTCGGAAAAGGGTGGAGTGCCCTCTCCGCGTCGGGGAGGAGATCTTGCCCCAAGTGGAGGAGTTTAAGTGTCTTGGGGTCTTTTTCACAAGTGAGGGCAAGAGGGAGCGAGAGATCGACAGGCGGATCGGTGCAGCGTCTGCTGTGATGCGGACGTTGTATCGGTCTGTCGTGGTAAAGAAGGAGCTGAGCCAAAGGGCGAAGCTCTCAATTCACCGGTCGATCTATGTTCCAACCCTCATCTATGGTCACGAGCTATGGGTCGTGACCGAAAGAACGAGATCCCGGATACAAGCGGCCGAAATGAGAAGATGGCTGGCTGGCTGGCTGGACGGACTTTGGCACTGTGAGGAGGATGTGCTAACCAGTCATCCACCGTGCCGCCCCAGGACAATTTTTTGGCTCAATAAAAACCCAATGCAAAAAATAATAATAATTCCCAAAAGGTCCCTGAGCAAGCAGTCGTCCCTGTCAACCCCAGTCTCTGAAAGTGAAAAAAGTGTCAATATATTTTTGTCACTGAAAGTTGACGGTAAACAAACCTCCAGTATGGTTGAAGCTCTTTCTCATATTTTCCAAATCGACTTTGAAGACCTGCTCTTTATTAATATTCCTGTCTCTCCCTCTCTCCCAGTAGTCAGGATCCTCGACTGTGACTTTGTTCATCCACTCCTGTGTGGGTTCATATGTCCTGCTCTTGATGTGGTAGCGAACAAACTGAACATCATCGAGATAAGCAACCATCCAATATTCGAGCGAGTTTGGAGTCGGAGAATACGCAGTTCGAAAATACTTGAGTGAGTGGATGACTGAAAGAAAAACACAAAAACATTTTCTCAAATCATTAAACAAACTCCAAACATCTTCTTCCAGAAAGGCAAATCATCTGCATCAATTCCATGTTTCTTGCTAAAATAACAAAATTACAAATTGTCTTCACTTTCAGTCACATGCAGATTTTCCAAGCATTTTTGTTTTTGTTGTTTCTAATCACCCGTTTCAAAAATTTGAAAAATGGATCGATTTTTTTTGACTGGCTTTGGATTTCGAAATCATTTGTCCTTCACTGTAAACGTGTTGTATGAAACACATTTTCATATTGGCCCTCAGACGGAAGCCATAAGGACGATTTTGAGTTTAATATCCTTGAACTTCGTGATTCAATCGATGATCCATTTTTGGATATTAAAATTGATGAACTCTGCGCGGGACAATTTCCAACAAAACTATTGCAATTCTAATCGTAATTTTGATGTGTTGTGGTGAAGGAACTTTGTCCTGAGCAGTGAAATGGTTGCTTCCTTCAAGTGCGTCAATCCGCGAAAAAACGAAACCGAAAGGCATTGTTGCGGCGCACTTACCAGGCCTCACAACTTGGAGCTGCGCAGCCACCACAAACAGCCCAAATAAAATAATCATCTTCGACATCTTCTGCTCCTTTCAGTCCAACCACAGCAAACTAAAATAACCTGCCCGCCTCAACCGACGATGACAAGCCAGCCTGGCGATGATGTCATATGCGCCAAGTCGGATTACTGCGACTCCTTTTCCAAGTTCACTTTGCGTCGTTTTGTTTTACGGTTCAAATTAAGTGGTGTCCGCGGAAGAAGAGATGAAAACCAGCGCGTGTTTTTGCAGGCTGTGCAGAAACAGCAACGCTTTCCTTCCCAGTGGCTGGGTGCCGTCAAGACCAGAAGCAAGTACTGTACTTCGCAGGATCGGGAAAACCACGTGACCACACAAGTGGACTCCTCCCTGCTCGTCGCGGTGGCTGCAGAGCGAAGTTCAAGCAATAATATCCAGCTGCAGACTCGGAGGCCAATAATATCCAGCTGCAGACTCGGAGGAGGTAGATTTAGGCTATGGAAGACATACGACGGAAGTGGCTGTGGTAAGTTTAGGTCAATGGATTTGGTCGTGCATTAAAATAACACAACTCCGTTTTACTTTTAGTTGATTTTGCTGTTAAATTATCTTCCAATTACAGGGCCTTTTAAACTTTTTAAGATCCACATGCGACTTACTTTGGAATTGGGCATCATCCTTCTGACGTCATATCCGTCGTAAAGTTACTTCCCTAAACCTACCTGCCCTGAATCGGCCTCCTCCGGGCCTGCAGCTGGACCCTTCTCAGTTCAAGGCCTGCTTGAACGTGGTGGGCTGGATCAAAACGCTTGACTCCCCCCACACGGATTGGAAACTCTTTTCTCGCGGTTTAAATGAAATGATGCGCCATCTGAATACGCCACGGTATTTTTAAAAATACTTTTAAACATCGAAAATTACTCATTCTCAGCCCTCGATCGGGGCGGAGCTAAGCTTTTTGAAGGAATTGACAGAACCGGCCATTTTTTAATGTCCTTTCTCTTTGAACAGGGCGTTGTCGAGACATAGAAACACTCCCAGCGTGTTCAGGGACCCTGAAAATCGGGGCGTGGACGTTGGTTCTGAGTGTCTCAACCATTGGGTTCAAAGGTTGTGGTCAAAAGACGTCCTCCACATAGAAACGAGTGGGATGCAATGCAGTACCACGTGTCCACAGCAAGAGGGCGCACTCATTTTACTGCAGGGGTGTCAAACTCATTTTTGTCACAGGCCACATTGTAGTTACGGTTTCCCTCGGAGGGCCGTTATGAATTTTTCGAAACCTTCTAAATGTATCTATTAGATACACAGCGCACAATAAGTTGATGAATAACTAGTTTTAAAATCAGAAGTCGATAATAATGACTGTTATTGTGGTTTACATATGACAATTTGAAATTTTGGTTCAGACTTCAGCAAAAATATCATGGAACTTGACATGCTTGATTTGCTTTCGCGGGCCACATAAAATGATGTGAAGGGCCAGATCTGGCCCCGGGCCTTGACTTTGACACCTGTGTTGTACTGTATATGGTTGAGGTTAATATTTGGGTTTCGGTCTTTCCATAGTCGTAATTTTCGATGTTAATAAAATTAAAAAAGTGTGGCGAATTGACATCTACCCCCCAGTCAGTGGCAATTAACACACAGCATACAGAAGTAAAGGAAGAGCAAAAGGAACATACCTTCCCAATGGCTTTATTTTTGTCTCAATTTGTTCACCTTCCAATATTGAATTGGTGACAGATTTTTTTCCCTTTTGGCTTCGTCGTAGCCACTTTTGGCCTGTATGAAACCCATGAAAATGTTTTCATTCCTTATTATTTGCTGCAGTGACTTATTTAATGTTGGTTAAATGAGTTTCATTCTAGATTCAACACCTTTTCTACCAAATGACTTACAATTTCAGTTAATATCGTTAGTCTCCAAAACAGGCTTACTTCACTCCGTTGGAGAAAACGAATGACAATTGGGATTCGAAGAGGAATGACATTTGTATTTAAGAAACGGAACCTCCCTCTGCTGGCTGTAGAAAGCCTGAACCGAGGGCCATGCAAAAACAAGTATAATATATAAAATATATACAAATTTAACTTTGGACATTTTAAACGACCACCCATGGTAAAAACAAACAAACGGGAATTTTAAAGGTTAAAAAAACAACGATGTGGACGTCAGCGTCGTCTCGTTCTCATTTTTGAGTGTCATTCTAACACCCGCTGCAAGTGTGTTTTATTTTGGCTGCCGTTGCAAGTGAAGCAGCCACTTCATGTTTTTGAGGTTTTAACGCAGCCCAGCAACACCAGGCCTGCAACTAACCCAAAAAAGGGAGGATAGAGAGAACGAGAGATGGAGAAAACGTGTGACGGCAGCCTCTTGGAGTCCTGTAAGTAGACTTTCTTCGTCGAAGACCACATGCAGCCGTCTAACTTTTGCACGTTATTTTGTTGTGGCGCAGTGCCTTTATGGACATATCGACCTTTATCACTTCGGGTAAAAGACAACAAACTTTCCGTTCTTCCGTCATCACAGCATTGCGAGCTAGCTAAAGCTCTTTCTAATAGAGGGGTGTGTGTTTGTATTACTTTCTCCTCTATGAATGCTAAGACACAATTTTGCTGGTAACATTTTATATATCGCTTTTTCATTACGTAATAATGATACTCAAACCATAAACTGTTAATAATGAGGCAGTTTGTAACAGGAAATTGTCAAAAGTACATATGTGCCCCACTTCCTTTTATCAACAATGGTATGTTCCATTCCATAGAGCAAAAAAGGCGTTGAAATGTTTTTCAACTCTTTATAATTATTTGGCATTTATTTTCATTTCATAACAATTAATACCAATCATTAATTGATATTTTTCTTTTTAATTGTTGGTAGCGTTTGGATACGTTTCCCGTATAATTATTTGGCATTTATTTTCATTTCATAACAACTAATACCAATAATTAATTGATATTTTTATTTTTAAACTGGTGGTAGCGTTTGGATACGTTTCCCATTGTCACCACTAGAGACCAGCAGAGGCCCGCTAGTCAAACAAAAACCTATACCCATGAAGTGATTTACATCACTGGCAATCTTTCATTTCTTCATATGGTTTTATGTGCCGCAGATCACATATTTGCTCAATATGTGTCAACTCGGCCCCTTTTTGTCCGCATATAACCCCTCGCTCTCTTTCTGTGTGTATGCTGACTGGGCTTGTGTTGCATTCACGTGTTAGGTATGCCGGTTGTAAAAAGGATTGTACTTGGTGCCCTGGTGAATGGAGGCAGCGAGGCGGACGACGATGGGTGTAATTCTAGCATCCGGCAAACGCTGACCTCCGTAGAACACGGCAGACCTGCAGGGATTACAGTACAGATGGCTTTTGGGGCGTCGGAGGTCAATGGGAGAAGTAGCGTCAGCGTGGCGCAAGGTGGCCAAAGTTCACTCGGAGAAGGAGAGCAATTGATATTTGCTTTCCGTGTTTCATAAGAAGTTGCAAGAGAACTCGTTTGTCCTGTCCAAAGGGGTTTACATTAAGAAACTGTTCAGTCTGTCCTTTGGTTGATGTCTGTTCCTGTCCCTGCGTGTTACAATCATTGCCAGAACCCTGGAATTGACATGGTTTGCAAGTACGGTGGATGTTGAGGGGTAAAAGGCATTTGTCAACACAGTGTCATTCTTCTATGTCTCCCCTATTGGACTCATGTGTTTGTTCTGTGAATCCATTTTGGAGTTCACAGTGTCCTATAAAGGTCATGATGGGAACAGATTGCTGTGTCTGTGTTGCCTGTTAGGTCTTTAACAGTCCGTGACATGCACTGAAAAGGAACAAGGACACTCAATCATCCCTGTTGCGCCGAAATATGTCTATTTTGACTTCACTGGGGTCTCGTTTTAACCACATTGTCAGTCCTTGAATGCTTTTTTAAAAAAAATGACATTTACTGTTATATAGCCAACGCATATTGGCTTAGAACAAGGGGCGAGGAACTTCTACTAGCTTGTGTGAATGTCATGTAGACTTTCCAATATTTCCACTTTTTTCGCAATTTTGGTTGTTTGTGCATGCCACGTCCAGTCTCTCGACATAAGTATGTGGGCACTGTCTTTCTATTGGTCAATGCCGAAGAATCAATCGAAGGACGAGGTGGAACATGTCACAGGATGCATCAAGACCAACAAAAATTCTGACATGCCAGACATTGGTCACCAATTGGGCATGAAGCATCCCAGATGTTCACAACCAATGCTTGAGTATGTCACACTACACGGGCTACAACACTAAATCAGCTACGAGACACCACGGTTGTCTGCGACACGTCTGTCGGCTAAAAATCAAGCTACGTTCGTATAGTATGACGTCGAAATTACGTCCATCCATGATGCTTTTAGTCGCAAAACGTTTGTCAGTTTAAGCGCTGACTGAGAGCGCTCTCAAACCAGAAAACAGGAAGTGGAAACCAACCCAAATCCAAACGGCAATGGCGCTAAACGTGGCTAAGCAGAAGAAACAACTCTCTGAAAATGCTCCCAAAGGAACCGGTTTCATGTTTGGCATTCGGAGTCTCCGATGTGCTGTTGGGGATCATTTAGAATCAGTCCCCTGTGGGAGCAAGGAAATTCTTTGGCCTCATTCCAGGCTGCTTTTCTGGCTTCCTTGTACAAGCTCTGGGACTGCGGCAGGCTCGGCTTCAAGGAATGTTTGGGGGGGGGGGGGGGGAGACAAAAGAAGGGTCACTGACATCCCATCTCGAGTGGGAGGGGGGAGTCATGTGATTGTTAATTACTCAAGCGGTTGAAATCCACACTGGATCCACGCCACTTACCTCGTGTCCAAATTCTTTACCGTCTCAAATTAATCCCGAGGTGTCACGCAGAGATGAAGGGGATTGGCTGTGTTTGGAAATCCTTTATTCGTTTCGTACTCACTCGCTAGGGATTTTTTGGGGGCAGGGGAAGTGGGGGACAAGGGGAGGATTGGACCGCCAGCGGTCAGTCTGTCTCTCAGTCACTCGTCAGTTTGTCTGTCTGTCTTTTGGTCCCATGGTCCATGAAACCACCATCAGTCAGATGCTTAGTCTGCCGGTCTGTCTGTCTGTCTGTCCACGGGTTGGTCGGTTGGATTGTCTGTCAATCCGTCCCATGATCAGTTCTTCAGTCAGTTGGACAGTCGGTCTGTTGGATGCTCAATTGGCCTGCTGTCATTAGGTTTGTCTGTCTGTCCTTAGGTTGATCGGTTGGTTGGTCTGTCTCCTCCTCAAATGGTCACATTTCGTCAGCCTGTCTGTCTGTTCTTTGGTTGGTCTGTCAGTCGCCGGCCGGCCTCTCTGTCTGTCCGTCTAATGATTGGTCGGGTGGACTATCAATCGCTCCGATCGTCAGTCCAT